CTCAGGAGTGTATTTTTCTAGGACATTCCTCTGTTCACAAAGGCTACAAATGCCTTTCACCTGATGGACACATATATATATCTAAAGATGTCCTATTCCATGAAACTAGGTTTCCCTACCCTGAGCTCTTTCCTAGCTCCTCCACTCCTGTGACTTCCACTACTTCTGCCTCTTGGTTTCCTTCTGCCTCTCCACCTGTTCCTACATTTCATATTCCCCCACTGCAGCAGGTTTCCCCTCCCGTCTCTTCTCAGCCATCACCTTCTAATGCTGCTTCCCACACTGCAGAACATTCTTATTCTCCTATCTCTGCTCAACCTATGTCTCCTATTGTCTCTAATGCAGGCTCTCCCTCTCCTCCCCTGCATCATTCACCCTCTTCTCCTTCTGACCTTTCTGATCTGGCTGAGGCCAGCACTATATCTCCTTCCTCTTCATCTCCTGTCCCTTCTTCTTCTAATTCTGCTCTTATTCCTCCTATTCACCCTCTCAATGTTCATCCCATGCAAACTCGTGCCAAAAATGGCATTGTTCAGCCTAGAGTCAATCCTACTTTGCTTTTAACTCACATGGAACCTACCTCAATCAAACAGGCCTTGACCACTCCTCACTGGTTTCAGGCTATGCAAGATGAATATCAGGCTCTTTTGAAAAATCAGACTTGGTCTTTGGTGCCTCCACTTGCATTCAAGAAACCCATAGGCTGCAAATGGGTTTTCCGTGTGAAAGAGAACCCTGATGGTACCATTCTTAAATACAAGGCAAGGCTGGTTGCCAAAGGTTTTCACCAACAGGCTGGGAGTGATTTCTCAGAAACCTTCTCCCCTGTAGTAAAACCTATCACCATAAGACTTGTGCTAACCCTTCCTGTCACAAATAACTGGCAGATGCAGCAAATTGATGTCAATAATGCCTTCCTTAATGGGCTACTTGAAGAGGAGGTTTATATGATACAACCTCCTGGGTTTGAGGCTACTGATAAGTCTTTGGTTTGCAAGCTGAACAAAGCTTTATATGGTCTAAAGCAGGCTCCAAGAGCCTGGTTTGAAAGACTCAAGGGTTCTCTTCTGACTCATGGACTGCAGCCTAGCAAATGTGATCCCAGTTTGTTTTATCTTCACACCAACAACCTCATTATCATGGTCCTAATCTATGTTGATAATATCATCATCACAGGAAATTCCACTGCCTATATTGCTCAACTTATTAAGAGTCTTAACTCTAATTTTGTCCTCAAGGATCTTGGTAAGTTGGATTATTTCCTAGGCATTGAAGTCTCCCATCTGTCTAATGGCTCTATCATCTTATCTCAATCTAAGTATGTGAGTGACCTGCTTACTAGAGTGAATATGGCCACAGCAAATCCTATGCCTACCCCTATGGTTTCTAGTAGTAAATTGTCTAAATTTGGTTCAGATACTGTTGCAGATCCCACCCTGTTTAGATCTGTTGTTGGAGCATTGCAGTATGCAACATTGACCAGGCCTGAACTCTCTTTTGCTGTTAACAAAGTGTGTCAATTCTTATCCAATCCTTTGGAGGATCACTGGAAAGCTGTCAAGAGAATACTGAGATATCTCAGTGGGACACTTCACTATGGTCTTCTCATTCAACCTGCCCCTAAACAGCAACCTCTTTCTCTCTTGGGTTTTTGTGATGCAGACTGGGCTGCAAATCCTGATGACAGGAGATCAATCTCAAGTGCTTGTGTTTTTCTTGGGCCTAATTTGATCTCTTGGTGGTCCAAGAAGCAGCAACTTGTGGCTAGATCAAGTGCTGAAGCAGAGTACAGGAGTATGGCTCAACTTGCCTCTGAGATGTTATGGGTCCAATCTCTGCTCACTGAATTACACTGCACTTTTCAAATTCCCAAGATTCTATGTGATAACCTAAGCACAGTTACTTTAGCTCACAACCCTGTGCTTCATAACAGAACCAAACACATGGAATTAGACATTTTCTTCCTTAGAGAAAAAATCATTAGCAAGAGTTTAACTGTGGTTCATGTTCCTGCTCAAGATCAATGGGCAGATGCACTAACCAAACCTCTCTCTGCTGTCAAATTCCTGCCTCTAAGAGACAAGCTCAGAGTTTTCAGTAAAAGGGAGCTACTGAAGACACCCTCTGATTCTAAGGGGGACTATTAGAATAGAATATTCTACTGTTTTGTCTTATTCTATTGTTTGTCCTTTTCTCTTATTCACAGCTGTCTGTTTGTTAAGGCACAACTGTAAGTTTGTTAGTGAGTTGTGCCATCTGTGATAACAAACTTACAACTATATATATCTACTGGTTGTATTCTATTTTGCCAAGAATGTAAATACAAATCAGATTTTTCTCTCTCTTTCTATTATCTTAACAAACTTGACATCAAAAATGCATTCTTACATGGGGATCTTAAACAGGAAGTATATATGGAGCAACCACCTGGGTTTGTTGCTCGGGGGAGTCATCGGATATGGTTTGTAGGCTACACATGTCTCTTTATGGTCTTAAGCAATCTCCGAGAGCTTGGTTTGGCAGATTCAGCACTGTAGTACAACAGTTTGGTATGATCCGTAGTGAAGCTGACCATTCTGTTTTTTATCGTCACTCACCCCAAGGGTGTATTTATCTTATTGTGTATGTAGATGACATTGTCATAACTGGTAGTGATCAGCAGAGAATACTCCAGTTGAAACAACATCTCTCGAAACAATTTCAGACAAAAGATCTTGGTAAACTCCGTTATTTCTTGGGTATTGAAGTAGCCCAATCTAAAGATGGTTTGGTGATTTCTCAATGGAAATATGCTATGGATATTTTGGAAGAAACAGGTTTGTTAAATGCTAAACCAGCCGATACTCCTATGGATCCAAGTGTTAAACTACTACCCAATCAGGGGGAGCCTCTATCTGACTCAGGAAGGTATAGGAGATTGGTTGGAAAGTTGAATTATCTCACAATCACTCGTCCGAACATTTCTTTTGCAGTCAGTGCGGTAAGCCAGTTCTTAAATTCCCCTTGTCAGGAACACATGGATGCTGTTATCCGGATTTTGAGATAAATCAAATGTGCTCCAGGAAAAGGTCTTGTGTATGAGGATAAAAGACATACCCAGATAATTGGATACTCTGATGCTGATTGGGCAGGGTCACCTATTGATAGACGATCCACCTCTGGGTATTGTGTATTTGTTGGAGGAAACCTTATATCCTAGAAAAGTAAGAAACAAAATGTAGTTGCAAGATCAAGCGCCGAGGCAGAGTATAGGGCGATGGCAATGACAACATGTGAACTTATTTGGTTAAAACAGTTGCTCAAGGAACTTCAAATTGAAAGAAGAAAGACCAATGACACTTATTTGTGATAATCAAGCTGCATTGCACATTGCTTCAAATCCAGTCTTCCATGAGAGGACCAAACATATTGAGATAGATTGTCACTTTGTCAGAGAGAAGATCGAGTCAGGCGACATCGTCACAAGCTTTGTCAACTCTAATGATCAATTGACAGATGTGTTTACAAAATCCCTACGAAGCCTCAGAACTAACTATATATGTAACAAGCTTGGTGCATTTGACTTATATGCTTAAAATAGTCCCGCATCGCTATATCATGTAATTAGTTGTAATCTATTTATATATATAATGTCTCCGTAGTGCTTTTCAAAACACATGGTTTATTCATATATCTTAGTCTCTTGTATTTCAACAATTATTTTCACTGAGATTTGTTAACACTGGCTTCTTATGAGTTCACGGTAAGTTTTGTTTCAGCCATTACACTAACCATTATGACACTATTGAAGTTTTATCAGATTTTACTGCTTGAGTTGGTCTTCAGCCTGAAATTGCAATGGACAATGGCTACAGAACGAAAATAGTCCCCTCATAGACACCCTCAGGAAATTGATTCATAAAACTTCTAATTTGACATAGTTTCTATCATTCACCGTAGAGTCCATCTTACGAAAAGTGAATCTTTTCCTATTTTTATTTTTTTCCAAATTATTGGATTAACTGGGACTCATGAGTATTGTTACCTTGTCCAGAAATATACAGTAAGCCTATTGCAATTACTATAATAAATGATTTTTAACTGCATTGGCCACACCATATCATTATTGTTAATAACGCTATCATCGTTGTTCCCCTTTTGCCTTCTTATATCTATTACTTTTTTTTTTCATATAAAATTGTCTATCCTTTTTTGATGGGTATTTCACTTGATGTGCTTTTTATGCAACTTAAACTTATTTTTAGTACACTGGTTGTTGGCACTAGGAAAATGTGACATCTTGTCAGCAGCATAATTACCTGATTTCTCATATTTCTTCCTGTCTACCTGCTTCATGGCTTGAGCAGTGGTATGTAATGCCGAGTAGATCTTGTCAGCAGCATCATTACCTGATTTCTCATATTTCTTCCTGTCTACCTGCTTCATGGCTTGAGCAGTGGTATGTAATGCCGAGTAGAATAATCATTTAGGTTAAGGACTAACATAGCATCCCCGTTCCCACAAAGTTGCCTGTGGATGGTGGATGTTGGAACTAAAGAGGATGTTGATAGAAACAAGTGAAAAGATAGAACCATGTGAGAATAGAAGAGATGCCTCTCCTTCAAGAGTTTTCCCTTTATATTACTCTAACATCCATACACCCATCAAATGTATAGAATGACATCCTTGACCTTACATCCCCTATTTATTTATATAACTAACTTCCTCTTACTAATTGGGTTAATCTGATTTTCCTTTATCTTCTATCCTTACAATGGATGATATATATTCTTACATAGATAATGAGACATAAACTACAAAAACTTATTCCACAAGAAAATGAAGTCAAGATTTTGGATAGTATCATGAGCATAACCATTCATAGAAGTTTTAATAATGCCTCATGGATTAGATATAATGTTATGTTGAGATTTTTTGTGGTGCTGCTTTCTCTAGAGTCTTTTAAAATTATCATTTGGTTCATTGACTCTTTTTTTTTCTTCCTCTTTTCCTTGGCACAGTTACCACGGTTATATAATATCTACAGGAGCATGGGAATTGTTACCTCCTTTCAGAATATTCTGGATAATGTGTTCATTCCTCTTTTTGAAGCCACTGTAGATCCAAATTCTCATCCTCAATTACACTTGTTTTTGATGCAGGTTTGTCAATCTGTATTTTTATGTTCTTGTGCATACCTCTACTTTGTATGCTTTTATATTTTGTAACAGTCAGTGGCCGATCCAAAAAATTTGTTTATGGGGCACAAGAAATAGTTACAAGAATTTTACAGAAAAAATATGATAGATTAAAGGCCTAAATTAGTCTTTTAAAACCCTAAACCCTAAATCCACAAAAGGCCGCGTAGAGGGTTCACTAAAGGAGAGTGACTTAACATATCGCCTACGTCTGCCCTAGTGGAACGGGTGTCCATTTATTGGTTGTGTCACCTGTTTTCTGAATTACTTGTTCGGTTCGTGAGAACGTGGGAAGTGACGTGTTCCGGTCCTCAGTGGTTCGAAGAGGGAGCCAAAGGGGAATAACACGATCTCCTGAATAGCAGGAGAGTTGACTGCTCACTCCCCCATTCCTAGAAAGTGGTTGCCACTTCCTGGGAGCATGAGGTCCAGCCCCACGACTTGTATACCTCAACCCTAAGGTTGAAAGGGGATCTGATTGATAACACAATACCATAGACGGAGCTTCTCACCTCCCTGTGTGAGCTAGTTTTAACAATCAACGAACCCTAAAAACCTCTGACAGCCCTTAATCACTAGGGGTTGTCGTGTATTGTACTTTTAGCAAGTAAACCAATTACGGTTGGGTCTTGTAGAAGAGGTTAAGCTGCCACAACATAGTAAAGGGTCAAATCCTGACTGGAGCAGTGCTCACATTTAATGTCCAATTTTTAAAATAAGATTACCTCCAAAGCAGAGATCCTATGAAAAACAAAAAAATACATGCAAAATTTTGGAATTCCAGTCATCTTGCTATGCTCTATCCTGTTATTACATTTATTAGATTGACTGGTGAACACCACTGCCACAATAGAAAACTACAATATGAAGTATGAATATGTGAACCTTGTTGTTACTTGATTATTAAACATATTAACCGACGTTCAATGGGCAGTTTATGTATCTCTATGCTTTGTTGCTGGTTGTCAATTGATGTGCAAAGGGAGCAATTAAGCTGTTCGTCCATAATAGAGTTTCTTTCATTCGTTGATCAACTAGATGTAATATTTTTGAGCTTATTCTACATACAGGTGGTTGGATTTGATCTTGTAGATGATGAAAGCAAACCTGAAAGGCGTCCAACTAAGCACATGCCTACTCCATCTGAGTGGACTAATGAATTCAATCCAGCATACTCTTATTACTTATATTACTGCTATGCAAACTTGTACACACTCAACAAGGTTTATGTTATTCACCATTCGTCTCTTTATTAGAGCTCTAGGTCTTTAACATTTGACCATTGCCTTCACTTCTCTTTTCTCGCTTTCAATTATGCCTCTTTTTTGTGTGTGGGGGGCTGGGTTGAGTCCCTCAAGCACAGCCGTGAAAAAAAGAAAAAGATAGGGGCAGGCAAGGCTATGTTCACAAAAGGAGTTTTTGGTTATCAACTCACAAAATTAATATCGTACTGTTGTTTGGTTTCAGCTTCGTGAATCTAAAGGAATGACAATAATAAAGTTGCGGCCTCATTGTGGAGAGGTTATTTTCTGCACCCTTACTGGTGGGGTTTAATTATGTATAATTATTAAGATGCTAATATTGATTTACTCATGCAGGCAGGCGATAGTGATCATTTGGCTGCTGCCTTCCTCCTATGCCATAACATTTCTCATGGCATAAATCTACGGAAGACTCCTGTTTTGCAATATTTATATTACCTTGCGCAGGTTTGGCTCTCAGGCAGAAATATTCCATTGGTCAACTTAGTTTTAAACTTTAAATATTTCTAATATTTCAGATCTTGCTGCATTCCGAGTTTGATTCATTGTAGTGGGAAATCAAAGTAGAAGTTATTTATTTCTCAATTCTTTAAATTATATCATTGTGTTTTGATGCATGATTGATAATATACTAATACCATTATGTTCTATTTAGGTTGGATTAGCTATGTCGCCACTTAGCAATAATTCACTTTTCTTGGACTATCACCGCAATCCTTTGCCCATGTTTTTCCAGCGAGGGCTGAATGTCTCTCTATCTACTGATGATCCTTTGCAAATTCATTTGACAAAAGAGCCATTGTTAGAAGAATATAGTGTTGCAGCAAAGGTTGTTTTCTGCCTAATTCTTAGCATGTTTGTTTAAAGGTTGGTCAAATATTTTGTTAACTTTCCCTGGGATCATATATATCTTACTAAAATGTGCATTGCAGGTATGGAAGCTCTCGGCTTGTGACCTGTGTGAGATTGCTAGAAATTCTGTTTACCAATCTGGATTTTCACATGAAGCCAAGGTAATTGTGAAGAATGTAGGAATTTCATGCTTTTGCATAACTGTATTTGTACAAAATACAAATGATTGATTGTAAATTTTTATGCATATTTTTACTTCTTTTCAAATGATTTCATTTTTTTTTTTTGGGCTTAAATAATTTACTATTTGGGATTCTATCTTTATTGTATGTTAAGGGGGCATTTGTTTCATGTATTAAAAATCAAATCCCAGGAATAAGTTATTAATAACGATTTCTTATCCAAACTCTTATTTGCTGAATTCCTTCCATCCTCATGGGCGTCTTCACTTTTTGTTTACATTATTATATCATTTTTTTTTCTTTCAGTTACACTGGCTAGGGGATAAATATTTCTTGAGAGGTTCTGAAGGAAATGACATTCACAAGACAAATGTTCCCAGTTTGAGGATCTCTTTCCGATATGAGGTTGAAAGTTTGACACAAACATCTTATTTTATCTGTGCTGTTTGGTTTAGTTATTCTTTAATGATTACCATTCTTATGTTCTTTTGTGATAAAGATTTATTGGTGCTTATGCAGACATGGAAGGATGAAATGCAATATATTTACGCCGGTCAAGCAACCTTTCCTGAAGATGTAGATCCATAAATCCAACCAATGAAACTCACCATTCATCCTGTGATATTAGATGCCGACGTCAATACTTAGGTCAGTTATCTTTTGATGAGCAGCAGTTTTGCCGGTGACAAGCTATTATTCCTTTAACATGATCAACCAGCCAATGATAATGTCGACTGGCCGCATGAACAATTTTATAACTTATTTTTTAGTAGTCAGTAGTTAACTAATGGTTCTCTTAAAATTTTGTTCTTTATTGGTTTTAATATGCTGAGTTGGGTTTTCTAGTCCTATGTAACAAAACGTGAGTATTTTAAATGAAAGATCCTCTTATCATTTGTTTATTTTAGATGATTGTAGAAAGATTTAAAAATAATTCAGACTAAAAATAAGTGACATTTCCAAAATAAGTTTAGGATTTTTTTGGATAGTAAAGGAAAATCACTTGAGAAATGTAAATTCAGTATGGAATGTAGTTTTAAACTCTGGAATATTGTTTTAAATTTAAAGAAAAATTCTCTTTTTTGTCCCTTAATTTTATCCTTAGAATCAGATTGGTCCTTTAATTATTTTTTGTATCAGATTGATCCATTAATTATTTAAAACGTGTCATATTAATCATTTTCATCAAAAACACCCATTGAAAAAAAAAAAAAAGCGCGCGCGTTTGGATTATGATATTTAGACACCTTTCGGATATTCAATTTAGATACACTTTTAATAATTCAAACACTTATGATTTTTGCATAACTTTGGATTAAATCCTTACCCTCATAACTATATAACATTTTTTCTTAAACCCTCCCAAAATAATTGTATATCTATTCAATTTTTTTTCCGAACATAATTCTATTATATTTTGCCATCAAAAGGGTCAAACTGTTTGAAATTTAAGCTAATGTACATGTCTATATTGATAATCATTGAAATAATTTTTTTTCTTATTGTTATAAGCTAATGTACATGTCTATTATTGATAATCATTAAAATAATTTGTTTTTTTTTTCTTATTGTTTGAAATTACAGTTAATGTACATTGTCTATCATTGATAATTATTGAAATAATTTGTTTTTTCTTTCTGTATCATCAATATCGTCGGAGATTGTAATCCATACCCTTGAAAAGATTAGTTAAAAGATTGAATTCAAAGTTCATTGAATGGTGATCTGAAACAACCTTAATCAGATGATGTACATGTTGACGTTGAAAATGAATTTACCAATAAGCAAGAGTTTAATTTAAGCAAACATATGCTTCAATAAGTTCGTATGAAAGCTAATCAAATTAAGTTGTGACATTGTTTTTGGGAGGGTTGATTCTAATTTTGATAGAAGACAAATGTTGGTTACGATGAGATGCGAAAGCTAATCAAATTAAGTTGTGACATTGTTTTTGGGAGGGTTGATTCTAATTTTGATAGAAGACAAATGTTGGTTACGATGAGATGCGAAAGAAATGACTAATACAAAAAACCTATTTAAAAGTTAAAACATGATGACATCAGAATAAAAAAAATATGAATGTCATTTAAAGTTGTGCGGATACTAAAAATTGTATAATACTCAGACATTTAGTATGATTTATGGTCTATATAATAATGAACAATGTCACAACTTAGTTGGTTTTTCGATTGTCCGTCGTCTGAATTTTGAAGAGAAGAAACTTGTTTTTGACATGACATTGAACACGGTTCAATCCAAAAACATAATTGCAACTTTAAAAAGGAACATACTCGAAAGTGTCTCAAATATTAAGCAAGTATACATCGTTTCCCATTAAAAATACAAGTCGATAAGAGGTCTGAGTTATGAAATGCAATATTTATTTGTTGAATTGTTATCTAGGTATAGAGTGTGCGAGGATGACAAAACTGTTAGAGATATGTTTTGAACTCATCCTGATTTCATCAAGTTGTTTAACACTTTTCTACGCTACTGATAATTGATTCAACATATAAGACCAACAAGTATATGTTTTTTTTTGGAAATCGTTGGTGTTATTTATATAAATATGACTTATTCACTTGGCTTTGCATTTTGGGAATGTGAAAAAAAGGATAATGTTACACGAGCATTGGAAATGTGTCAGAATATGCGAGCAGAGAGAACTTGTCCAGATAACTCCAAGTGTGGTTGTACATTTAGAAGAATATATGGTCTTCCGTGTGCTTGTATAGTTTCCTAGAAGATGAAATTTGATAGAGCTATATGTATAGATGAGATTTACACGTATTGAAAAAGACTTCAGTTTGATGATGATGGTGTGATCAAGGATGGTAAATCATATATTTTTGAAAGCTGATTAGAACATGAAACGACACATCAAATAAAATTTGCGCAAGATAATCTATGAATATATTTATAAAGGACCTTAAGAGGAAACATGGAGATCTCAAATCTCTTGCTTATCAGATCAACCACCCCTTTATTGGATGTATCGACTATTTGTTAGATGTATCACCTTTCTCAGGGATAAGTCGCCTAACGCAGAAGTGAGTGACGTTTCCTCGTCCTATAATGACAAATAATATTTCGTGAGAAAGGTGAACCATGTTCCCCTGAATATTAGGAGGTAAGCTGTCGACTCCTTGAGCAGTTACTATTTTCATGGAAACCTAATGTTCAAGTCAGGTATGTGTATAAATATCCCATTGTCATAATTGAAGAGATAATCCTACTAGAACACAAAAACGCACGCAGATAAAGCTTTTCACCCCACTTAAGCTAGCTCCCAACCTCATAGAAACCTTAAAGCCTCTAACAACCTTTAATCCTGAGGTGTTATCATGCATTTGTACTTTTAGCGAGTATAATTGACACCGACCGTGGGGTCTTGGTAAAATTGTTCTAGGCTATAATAACACCACCCGGCCAAACTATTGCCCTCTTTTCAACTCCCCTGACTATCGTGGTGAAAAAAGAGACAAAAACTCCAACCAGTTATGAGTATGAAATTCTATAGTAGAGATGCACATTACTACGGACGACCTTCGTCATCAGAACCAAACCCTGGAAGACAACATCCTTCATATTTGTCAGCTAACAAGAGAAATACATGGTGGACGAATTTGAGGTGTTGGATCCATACCTCTGTCAGATGAGATATGGGAGGCTCATGTGCTAGAGAATTTCAAGTCCCCATCGTTGGATAAATTTGAAGGACGCGAGACGACTCATATGAGCATGTGGACTCCTCCATTAACACTCAGATGACCATCATTGAGGCACACGACTCCTTGAAGTGGTAGCTCTTGTATGACACCTTTATATACACAACCCTAAGGTGGTATATGGGCCTCCGTAGGCTATATATCACCAACTATCTAGACCATGTGAAGAAGCTAGTCCACCAATTTGATGTAAGCAGGCATAGGAAGTTGACCTCTACCAGTCTATTCAAAATTCACCAAGGTCCTTCAAAGTTACTGAGGGAGTATCTCACCTACTTCAACCAAACAACAATCAAGGTAGTCCATCTACTCCATAAAATTTTCGTGTGAGTGCAACTTCACCATGAGATGTTTTGCATGATGTCAAAGTATTGAAACTACTTTGAATTTTGGTATATTGAACAACAACTCTGAGTATGTGTGGATCCCTTGCATTAGAGTTCTTAGGAATCAAGAAAAACAAGTTTCTGCACAAAAATGAACTGCATGTGTCGGCACATACACATTTCAGGTCGACACATATAATTCAATATTAAAGCCTGTAGGCTCTAACTTGGTTGGGTCGACACATGGTCATCTTGGTCAACACATACTGAAAGTTTCAATGTTATATGTTGACACATACGTACTTTTGGCCGACACATCTACTGTCCTAAATAAGGATGTAGATTCCGTTTCATTTGGGTCAGCACGTAGGTCCCTTCAGGTCGACACATACTGGAAGTTTCAAGATTATGTGTCGGCACATACGCACTTCAGGCCGGTACATCTACTGTCTTAAATAAGGCTGTAGCCTCTATTTGACTTGGGTCGACACATAGGTCTGTTCAAGTCGACACATACTGCTAATTGTGATATTATGTGCAAGCACATCCATCGTTCAGATCGAGACATGCTGTTTAAGTGGGCCAATTCTGTTATTTGTTTCTCCAAAAATTAACTCTTCGCCACCAATCTTCCAAAACTATAAATACATCATTCATGCTTCATTCCAAACTGGTGATACCATAAAATTAGCCTACATTTGCTCATCATCTTCAACCTCCGTCCTGTGTCTACACACTGACAAATCACACATAATAATCTTTTGTTGGGGTTTCAGCTAGGCGAAGGCCTAATAAGTTCCAATTGGGTTTTTGTGTAGCCGAGATATTGGGTTGAGATTTGTAGGGGTCTTCATTTGAAAAAACCGCGGGTTTGTCTTCCAAGATCGTGTGAAGATTTGGGGGTTTTCATGCAAGACGTTCAAGAGAGGATTGCGACATTGTGAAAACCTTTGGAGATAAAGTACGCAAAGGACCCTTTGGAGATAAATAACGCAAAGGAAGTAACGGAGAACGGCGAATCGAATTGACGTCTTGTGGAACAATCGGTGCAATTGATCATGCACGAAAGCTTTGGAGATAAAGAGTGCAAAGGAGTAGCAATATTGACAAGTCAATTGGCATCGATTGTTAACTTGGTCTTACTCAAGATCAAAAAAAGAAAAGGGATTGAATCAACATCAGAATTGGTAGTGTTTGTATGGTTGCTCATGAACACTTTTATTGTAAATCAAATTTTTGCATAGTAAGAAAGTATCCTAATTCCACATTGAAAATTAGGCGCATATGTACCTACACACGAGGACGAAAGTGGAGAACTGCATGAAAAAATCATCATGTCGATCTCTCTATTATCTCTTTACTCGCTTTATTTTTCATTACGCAATTTGTCAAATATCGTTGATTAATCGATCGAATCGTAAGAATTTTGCTGTGATCTTTCTGTTTTAACTTGGTTGTTGATTAGCTTATAATTACTTTTTATTATAATTGATTTTCATATCAACAACAACACAAAGGAAATTCTAAAAATTCG